TTGTTGATCTGACCCTCCGGAACACTCCTTATCTGGCGCTGCAGCCCTTCGTCTCTGCAGCGGGCAGCCGGTAGAACTCCACCACCTTACAAGATATGCCATGATCCGAGAGAGCCACTTCTCCAAGCGTTCAAAGGACCGTAGCCTCCAGAACGAGCCAGGGTGCAGATTCGTTGCTTCATCAGCATGTGAAAATACTCCACAGAAGACGTGAAACGCACACGCAATCAGTGGTTCTTCTGCGCGCCACGAACTCACTCCACACGCTTTTGTGGATTGACCAATGGCATATGCCCCGAGATGCTGCTGAGGCGCATGTGAGACCGTAGCAACCTTCAACCAGACGACTTCGCGATAGGGATTGCACTGTCATCATACGCCGCTAGCATGTGATCGCGCCATCAGACTTCGGTTTGGTTGCCGAGTGGACACCATTCTTGACATCACCTCATCCTCCGTTGCCTCGTCGTTCAATTACGAGAGCCAAGATACTTGGAAAGCGAAGCTGGCTGTTCCCCAACAGCTTCGACTGTAGGCTGATCCAATCTTGAAACCGTCCCTTGTATAACGTCACTGCAGCTCAGGAGGATGAACGCTGATCTTCTACTACATCTTCATGATAATGTCCACAGCCGTGTTGCAGGTCAGCCAACGGACAGCTCGCCGACCAGTGCACAGTACCGATGTACACCATCTAACGCCGAGAGCTACCGAAGGTACGTACAGTCAGAATTCTCCGTATCCAACGCATCCTCCCTTCTCGGGCCCGCACACCTGCAGCAGTGGCGCCTGTCGATGCGCTTGTTCCATGCGGTCTTGATTGACAGTGCATGGGTCTACGGAGGGCATGGGGCCATGGATTGGCCCGCTGCACGCCATCGAACACTTCGTCGACGAGTTCTTATCGGTGTCGAAAGCACGAGTCGCCCCGATTACGGGAGATACTCATCACAGGGGTTGGCAGGTACTCTTTGTCCATCGTTCTTATTGCCTTCTCCACCACCTTGCCAAGATTCGAAGCGCTCGGAACTGCAGTGACTACAGCCTTCTATGTCAATATAGGACTCCCGATAACGACAAGCAGCAAATCATCCCACCTCGCCATTCCAGCCAGCTGTTCCGGATAGCCCACGCCGACGCAGCTATAGCTTTTCACATGCAAGTCACCAACCAGGGCGACCAGGCAATGTCAAACACGCACATGTGCATGTGCGGTGGGTCGGACGGATGGCTTGCATATGCACGAACGACAGCCGCTGCAGGCCCGCCGCCCGAGTGCTTGCCACGCCTGCCAGCCCTGCATTGGCCAACCAGTCGACCACGCACATGCTGCGGAGAAGTAGGAATACATCAGTCCTTTCGCCTCCAACTTCGAGTGCATGCTTGGCGGGTGCAGGAAAAGCTGCAGGCGTGTTCCGAGTTCACCCGCTGCTGTTCCTGTACGGTTACGGCTTGGGGCGGCGAGCGGCGACGACGGGGAAAGCTGTACGGCCAACGTTGTTGAGACCGGAGGAATTCGCACGGGTGCCTGTCGAACTGAATGAGACTTCACCGAGTGCAGACGTGATTCGGCCGTGCCCGAATCATGGCTAGGCGGGTTGAGCTTGCTTGACACGTCGTTCACCAGGCAGGGACAGATCTTGACTCGGGCGAAGTGGTATCGAGTCTCTCATGGGTCTGCACTCCGTTACGAGCCGTCCGAGCGGACGGCCCGGTGGTATCGAGTAACGGACGAAGCACCCGCGAGGGCCAGCGCGCAGCATACGCAAGCAAGTCCAGTCCCTTAGCAGACACATCACAACCCCCTCCCCTGCCGGCCCACCCACTTCCTCACACCCATCCAAGCATCCGCCCTCGTCTCCGCCCCACCAATCTCCCGCCCAACCTCGAAAACTGTCGCCACACCCTCCAACCCCCCCACGGCAACGTGCTTGCCGGACTGCTTCTCCCACGCCAACTTGTTCAACGACTTCAGTCCAAAAACATCCCTCCTCTCCTGTACCCCACCCGAAGGAACACCACCCTCGCCCGGCCTGGCACTCGCCACAGGCACTTCAGTAGACACCAGCAAGTCGTAGATATCGAGCCCGCCACCCCCGTCCACGCACCCGAACACCGACGGCCGAGTAGGCGACCACCGTACATCATAGACCGTATCCTCCCGCTGAATCTCCAGCAACGGCTTCACCGGCTCCGGCGGGACATCAGCCTGTCCACCAGTGATCATCGAGCTCGCAGACGGAGCCCCGGCTCCCGCTTTCGCCCGCCAGACCTTCACGCTCCAGTCCATCCCCGCGCTCACGAACAAATCGCCCAGATCGACTTTGCCGCGCGCCGGATGGAAGTCCAGCGCCGTCACGGGCGCCATGTGCCCCGCGTAACTCGTCCGCGCGTCCACGCCCGCTTTCGCGCCCGCGCGGTCGTACCGATGCACGGGTAGAATGGAGCCTTGCTCTGTGCCGGCGAGGAAGTACGTTGGATCGCTGGCGGGGAACGAGATGCAGGTCGGCGCAACGTCGTCGGTCTTGTACGCGCTTTTGTTCGGGCTCTGCAGCTCGAGGTACTCTTGCGGCACGGTGAGCATGTCGGCGCTCCACGCGCAGACGACGCCGTCGGTCGAGACGGAGATGATGGAGTTGGCGTTCTGGGTGCCGACGACGGCGAGGCTGTAGATGGGGTGCGCGTGCCCCGTGCGGCCGCCTGTGAGAGGGGTTTTCTGGACGGGCTCGCCGGTGCGTTGGTGGCGGGCGCGGGTGTCCCAGAGGCAGAGCTGGCCGCTGTAGGTTCCACCTAGGATTAAGGAGGGGTGGTGCGGGTGCCAGAGGCAGGAGAGGAGGTCCGAGGTGGCATGGAGGCTGTATTCGGGGCGGCCTTTGAGGTGGAGGTTCCATACGTTCAGTAGACCAGGTGGCGTGTGAGGGGAGGCTTGGGATTTGGTGTAGGCGGTGCAAAGTAACTCCGGGAATTTGGGTGAGAAGTCCAGAGTCGAGAGCATGCGTTTGGCGCCCATGGCTTCGGTGAGTGGGAAGGAAGCGATTTCCTTGATGCGCCGGCCACGGCGACCAACGTACTCGTCCGCTTCTTCATGGGCAATGCGAGACTGCTGAGCGTAGTCGGACAACAAATCATACTCCTCGTCCAGCGCGCGCTCGATGACTTTGCTACTCCGCTCAACGAAGTCCAGGAAGTCGTTGCTGCCGGTGACCGCGTTCAGCTCGTCGGGGGCCAATGCGCGGACGGGAAAGCGTTCCTTGTCCGGTTCAAGAGGCGCATCAAGCTTCACAGCGCGAAGCTCTTCTTCAATCTCCTGCCGCAGTCGCTGTCGTATTGCTTCCTCCTCCAGCTCCCTTTCACGCCCACTGAGCTTCCGTCTGCGCCGTCTACTCGGGTTTCGCGCGATGCCGTCGGCCTCGTTCACGAAGATCCCATCCGTGCTGTCGTAGTCCCACGGCTCCGAAGTTTGCACGCCTTTGCTGTACGTGATTAACTCCGGCTTGCTCTCTACTGGAATTTCATACACCGTCTGAAACTCGGCGAAGGCCAAGGTCTGAGTCTCGGTGCCAGCATCCTGGTACTGTCTGCCTTCTTCGGTCGCCCTGTCGCCGCCGCTGATCCTCTTCGCGGGACTTCTCGCTGGTGTGCGCGGACCAGCAGCGGACGAAGGTCTCTCCGGGATGAGGGAAGAGATCAGCTGGTCAATGTCTGCTTTCGATTGGGTAGGGCGGTTACGGAGAGGCGATGCTTGCGCTAGCTGAGCGGTCAGTCAGTGTCGGAGTGCAAGCTACAGTATGGGCAGCACTGCGTACTTCAGAGGTATCGCCAATGCTCTGCCGGCTGCTGCTCACGTCCTTGGCTCGTAGTTCGCGCTGTCGCTTGAGCTCTGCAAGCTTCGTCCTTTTTGCCGCGATCTCGTCCTTCCGACTCTGTAGTGATGACATGGTGTTGCTTGGTGTGGTCAAGTCCGCGTGTACGAAGTGGTTTGAGGGCAATCGGGAGACGCGCTGCCGCTTCGCGTTCACGTGACTGTCGTGATGTCCGGCCGCTTTCCGCTCGAGCTTCGTCCGAGAAAACTGTCCGACAGCTCCCAACCACGTCCATTCCCCCATTCGACACCACCGAGCCGCCATTGACCCTCTCAAGACCCCGTCGCTCGCCCGAACCATACCAGCGAGCCATTGGCGCAACTCCGTCTACTCCTGTCGCACTTCCGCCGCCTTCCTAGCCCGCAATGGCCTCCTCGGGGGTGAATGTACGCACCGCGCTTTTATACCAACGTGGATGCCGGGGGAGAAGGGACAATATGCTAACACCGGATAACATAACAGCTTCTGCGCTGGAGTGCGCTCGTCTTCGGAGTCTTTTACGGCTTCTCCCACCAAAACGCTATCCACTCGCGCGACAAGAAGGCCGTAACACAACACGAGTGGGACCGAAAAGCCCAGATCATAGACCAGGCGAAAGCGGAGTGGAAGAAGCGGAATGATCCTAATAGCGGGAAGGACAACGGGGGTGAGCATATCCTGCACGAACATATGGAGCGGAAATGCCTTAGCCACGGCGCATAGCTCTCTTCTATGGAGGACAAGGGGCTGACCAGGTGGTGCGCAGTCATCTCCGACCCAGAGAACCCGAAGTTCGATCTAGAAGCTTACCTCAACGACGTACATGCGCGAAACGGCTAGCGAGCCGGGGGAAAGTAATATAGTAAAGATGCGAGTGTGTCACAAAGACATTGATAGAGCGGTGGAAAGTATGATGTTGTTGGCGGAGTAGAGGTGGTGAAAAGTATGGCAGATGTAGCATGGAGACGAGGAGGAATTGGTGGCAAGGGTGATGTGGTGAACGCCCCAAGCAGTTGACATTGGGTGCGGAGCTGTGTATATACGCCTGTATATTACTGATGCGCTTTCAGCAAAACGCTTTGGCAAGGATCAAAACAGTGTGGCGATTCAGCTTTACGCTTACGGGTGGAATAACTCGTAGCAAAAGGCTGCCAACTCTGGACGAAGTCGGAGTCGAACCAACATCACTTGGGGCTGATTCAGAATCAGCCATTCAGTATCTTACCGTTGAGACCATTCGCCCTTTGAAGTTGAAGTTGTCTGCTTCTCCTAATTAACACATACTACTGCCTGATCAGCCGCGGAAAAGCCGAGCACATGCACAGCAGCTGAGACCAGGAAATGAGGGCTACTCCTGATGTCAACAAAGAGATGTGAACAGGGTCGCTTTGCCATGTAACAGGCACGTGAGTATCGTTACATTCCTCACTTCCACTTTCGGACGATGGACTGGACGCCGCGAACAAAGACGACCCGCGCAGCTCTCCCGAGGATGGCGACTATCTGGGCGCCTTTGTGTCGAAGGCACCGGCAGTAGTAACGCGATGCAGCAGAGCGCCGGAAACGGAGTGTTCTATCCGCAAAAGCGACGTACCTATGGACACGGCATCGCATCTTGCAGTCATGCTGCTCCATCTGGACAAAGCACATGGGCCTGACATGAGATAACACCAAAGTGCACAGGGCAATACAGGAGTAAATCCTAAGCATGGAGAGACTCGGAGGCGACTTCGACTTTGGGAACGTGCCCATTATAGTCACGAACTATGACGCTGATCGCCTAGCCAAGGAGCCGGCCTCTCCATCCCCCCTCGACCGCTCGAATCACTCAGGCGAGCTCAGTCGGCGACGCGACGTCCGAACAACAGCTGCCTCCATCTCCTCTACCACCAGCAGCACTCTAGACCAAGCCCAGCAATGGTCTAATGGTTTCTCGGATTTCGCCGACGCCCTCTGGAACCGCATGACGAGCAGCATGCGACAGAAACTCCGCGAGGCCTGTGTCGAGGTGCTCAGGCGGACAGACGACCCGAGTGAGGAGGAGAAGCTGGCGTGGGCATACGACGAGGACGCGCGGTTCCTCGATTGAAGTATAGTCGGCGGGGGCGCTTGACGCTGGGTAGCACAGCAGAAGCGAATAAGCAGGTCGATCGAGACTACCGCAAGACCTTCCCTCTCAGGCTGGTCTCCATGAGTAGCTTGTCGTACTGGCCATGTAGCCACTGCACCCACGGTCCCATAGGCTCGGGCGGCATCTTGCCATCCTTATCTGGGCCCGGCATGGCTAGTCCATTATAGAAGACGCTCTTCAGTCCAAACTCTGCTATCCCTTCACGCTCTTTCACTTCAACCACCATCTCAAACAACCCGTCGCTCTCTCTAACCTCCATCTTCCTCGGCGAGTCTCCACACCGCACAATGATAGACGTAGGAGTCCGCGACACGACCTCGAAATGATCCGTAATCTGCGTCCCGACCTCGTACCTATTCGTCGACAAATCCTTGCGATCCCACAGTTGACCCGCAGTCTCAGCACCCCTATACTTCTTCTCCAGAAACCTCCTCTGATACGCATACCCCACTCCTCCCCAGACGCCCTGACAAAACGCATCCACCAGTCTCCCGTCCTCCCTGCCCTCCAGTAATTCCGCCCGGATCTTCTTCAGCGGGACTTGTCGGACACATATGTCTTGAGTGACGGGCGCGTTGTTGGGGTTGTAGCGGGCGTAGAGGGTGTGGTTGAAGAGGTAGTCCGAGCGTGGGATATCGCGCATGTTGCATTGGCGGGTCATGAGGAGCCAGGAGGCGGCGGTTGCGAGGGAGCCGTAGCCGGCTATGGCGAAGGTTGTGCGGAAGAAGCCCATCGTCTTGATTGCGGTTTGATTGCGCCAGAATATGGCCAGGCGGGCAGATGAGGATCGCGAGGATTGTTGCGCAGTGCCGTGCTGTCCTGCAATCGGTATTGCCCGCTTTTGTGGTTTAGATGCTCGAGGTGGACCGCGAAGTCGGAACTGAGACTCACTGGCATCGCCGAAACTGCCGAGACTCGGGCCATAAACACAGTGGCCGATTCCCGACGACAGTCGATGCCAGGTGCTCATAAGGAAGCGAAATCCGATCTGGAGTAGTAAATATTAGAGACAACAGCAGGCGCCTGGTAGTGTGTACGTATACATTCATGAAGTGTCTACAAAATCCTTATGTATATATCACACCTCTTCCTTCCTCGCCTTCTCCGTCTCCTCACTCTGACTACTCCCACTCGCTGCCGCCTGCCCATCGGGACTCCCTCCATTCAAACCCGCATCCCCACCCATCCTCGCCTCCTCATCCCTCCGTTTATCCTGCTGGATATCCGGTGCAGGCGCGAACTTACTCTTCGCCCGAATCTTCTTGCCGTAGAAGTAGAAAACAAACGGCATAGGGATGAACATGGTGGCGAGGCAGCCGAGAAGAGTCATGCCCCATTGGATGCCGATGCCTTCGAACATGTAGTAGGCGAACAGGGGGAAGATGGCGCCACATAAGGAGCGCATAATGGTGTTTGCGGCGATGGCCTGACGGGGTCTCCTGGTTAGCAAGCGGACTCCTGCGTAGCGATGGTATGAGATGAAGTGACTTACCGAAGCCGCAAACATGAGATATGCGTCTGCGCACACCAGTCGTCAGCAAAAGTATGTCCACCGCAGTCTAGGTGATCGGAAGACTTACCGATGATGTAGTTCAAGCAGCAGAGGAAGACAACGTAGATTCCGAAGCCCAGGAAAACTCCAGCCAGCGTTGGGACGATCCACGGAGTCGATGCCTTGTATCCGCCCCATCCAAACCAGAACAATCCGCAAGCAAATACTATGCCACCAACCATGGTGAGGGGCAGTCTCCATTCCGGCACTGGGACGTTGTTGTTCGCTTTGAGCTTTTTGACGTAGCCCGGCTGCGTGGCCAGGATGCTGAGGAAGCCGATGAACACACCGATGATCAATCCAAAGTAAGGCAGTCCGTTCACACCCGGTGCCCAGCCGTAGACTTGTCCGAATACCAGTCCATAGGCGGTAAGGTTCAGGTATAGCAGGCCGTAGATGAAAGACAAGTAGATCGTGACGAGCAAGATGATGGGCTCGGTGAATAGGATTCTGATCGGACGCGACAAGTTCTTCTTCAGTAGTTCGCCAAGGTCGACCTCGACCTCGTCCTGCTTTGCATGGATGCCCCAGTTTCGCGTCAGACGTCGCAAGTTCGCCGCCTTCTCCACCAATATAACTGGGCCATATGATTCTCTTTGGAAGAAGAAAGCGAGGATGCAGGCGGAGAAGCCCATGAGAGCCGGGATGTAAGCCGTCCAACGCCAGCCAAGGTAGCTGTTGGTGATGAAACCGCCGATGAAGGGGCCCATAAACGGACCTGAATGACTTAGACACTGGTCAAGACTTGCGTTCGTTGGTGTGCTTACCGCAGAAGATAGTGGCGGAGAAACAGGCGACTGCAACACCGCGGACCTCATTAGAGTACATGTCCGAGAAGACAGCCGCTACGATCGTGAGAGGAGATGATCCGAAGAGGCCGCAGAAGAAACGAGCGATCCTTTCCTACTATTAGCGGGTATCCTGATGATTCTGATAGCCTCTCGCCACTTACATGAGTGTCTGGAAGTCTTTCGCGACCGCTACGGCGATGTTGAAGATCCCTACGGACTGTCAGTAGCTGCTGCCGGCCTCGCTGTCGCGGAGATACAAACCGAATGCGAAGGCGGCGATGATGATCGGTACTCTTCTCCCATACAGCTCTGACATCGGTGCGAACATGATTGGGCCAAATGCATAGCCCATCACGAAAAGCGATGTCCCTAAAGTGACAACCTCGCGGCTCTTGTGAAAGTGTTCTTCCACCGCCGTCATAGCGGGCGAAAAGACACTAGAAGCGAAAGTTGCCGCCATGGCATCCCATATGAGAATGCAAGAGATAATGATCTTGGTCTTCAGCGGCCAGTTCTGTGCGTGCGTTGGGTCTTCATGCCCGTCAAACTCTACCACGTACTCTTCGCGCTCCGGTAGCAGACGTGGGTAGGGTTTCCCGCCACCGAAATTCGGCAAGTGCACGGATGCGCCGGTTTTTCGGCTCCCGACGGTCTGAGAGTGCTGGAGACGGTGCTCGGCGATCCGTTGGATGGCGGTGGGATGGCGGTCCAAGTAATTCACAATCCTCTCCTCTATCACCGGGTCGTCCACGGTCGCCACGGTATCCAGCCGGCGAGTCCGGGGTCGGCTTCCGCCTCGTATCGACTCGTGCGATGCGGTAGAGATTGAAGTAACGCCGCTGCTGGCGACGGATCCATGCCTGTGGACTCGAGCAGGTTGCTCTGCTTCCTCAACCGGCTCAGTCTCCTCAGTGGCTTGCTCCGCGATCCTCCGGCCCTCGAATGGCTGGATTCGCGGATGTAATGTATAGTACTCTCGCTTCAGCCCTGCCGTCGCTTCGTAGTCTCGCCATCGTTCTGGATCTGCGTCATATTGTGCTTTTGCGACTTGGAGATCTTGCTCGAGCGGCATGATCGCCACTTACTGCGGGTGATCGCCCTGGCGGCACCAATCCTCAAGACACTTTCGCGCCGTACTTAGCAACGTCCTGTTCAGTTAATGAATCCGCTTCTCCGGTCCTTGGTATCCAGATGTCAGGGAGAAATGTTGTTTGAGAAGGCTTGTCCGGGTTGCGAAGACTCGGGGACTGGAAACATTGCAGGCCCGACGCCCCGCAATAATGATCCAATGTGATGCTGAGTCAGTGAGCGCAACCCGCTTACTCACGAGACTTTGAACACGACGGGAAGTCAGTCCGAGTCTGGTGCCACCAATCTTGCATGTACCAGTCAGTGCAGATAGACCAGCGATCCGCCATCACCTGCCCTTGGCCTCAGTGAAAACACGTATACCCTGTTGATGAAGCGATCCGTAACACGTTGCACGGCTGTCCGTTCATATATCTCACACCTAGCGATTATGTCCTTGAGATGGAAGAGATATGAACAAGTCTAGGGTATCATGCACAGCCTCCAAAATCGAATCCAAAAACGCCATCAGAGTCCCGCGCGCTCACACCATCTCATGAAGACTTGTCGGGCTGCTCCGCCTCAGCAGCGCCGTCTTTACCAGCCCCCCACAACCCAGCCGACCATCCTTTGATCGCCTCAATCTTGCCAGTCACCCAGCTCCACCACCGATTGATATCGCCGTCTTGCTCCTCGTCAGT